CAGTGATCAAGTTCCTCTCGTTCACCACACTGTCGTGAATGTGCGACAAAACAATGATCTTCACTCGACAACGCAAGCCCACCTCTTCAATCTCCCTTCGCAAGCGACGAACTGCTGCAACGTGGCCCGCAGGCAGATTACCAATATGATCCACACGATCCGGAGGATTGGCACTCCGGTCAACGTCAAGGACCTGATGGTAGTCCAATGCAATCACCGGATCAAAACTTGGCTGAAGACGGAAAAGTCAAGGCCTCTCTGTAAACAATGTCAACTCGCGACCACGGGTGAAGAACGACTCCAGGCGCCGGGTGGTAGTACTTGAGGATGTCGTAAGGCCGATTTCCGGCAGGCTTCTCAACAACACTCGAATCCGCTCGACTCGGAACAGGCCTTGGGGCCTTAACGAGCCGTGCGAATGATCGAAGACGTACGGATTGTAGAGCCTTGAACGCGGCACAAGATGCTCAGCCTGCAACGAAGTCAAATCAATTGCTGATGTATGCGCAACAAACTCAACTTCGTCCGATTCAGCCTCACTTGCACTCGGCTCCCAATACCTCGAAGTCCCAAGTGGCCTCCTTTGGCCGCCAGCGTGAACAATCGGAATCGTCGCTCGATCGCCTCCCGAATTGACCATGTACGCTTCCCTGCGTCACCGTGCGGCAGCACCTGACCGAATGCCACGCCTCGGAGGCTCCGGAGGCGTTGGTGGCCTCCTTGGTGGCGGCCCTGGCCGCTCAGGAGGCCGCCACGGTCGACGAGGTGGCGAACGGGAAGGCTCTCGAGGATGCCGACTTGACATGCACGGGTTTTCTGTGGACCCCGCAACCACACTAATGAAAGATGTTGTTGTGTTGTAACAAGAACAGGAAAACAATCAAAAGCCGATACGGCTGATAACCACTTGAACCGTTGAAAAACGGAGCACCAACACAAACAACAACCAAAACAACAAGTCAAAGTTAAGATCCGTCGTGACCGTGACGAGGCAGCGGCTGCGGACCTTTTTCATCACTTGAGCCAAAAGTACAAGTTGTTCATGAACTGTGCTTACATATGAGGTGTACTGTACACAGGAAACTTCAAGTATGAAGTCCCAACCTGCTGCACAAAAGGTGCATCAACAACCGCCGAACAAATAATTCTTCGCAAGTACCTAGAGATTTGAAACAGTTGGAATTGAACACGTACACCGGCACACATTGCCGGAACAATTTGTCGAGGAGTGTTGAAATGGAGAGACTGCCAAGCGTCTCCAACGTTCCGTAGGGTTTGTAGCCCGTGACTCGAGGCGGGAAAACGGCATCACGCCCTCAGTGAGTGACTCCAGAAGTGAAGACGAACCTTGAACGAATTTGCCTCTAGCTTTAATCTATATAATGGAAGCCCCCTTCAACAGTTCAACCAGGTGAGATACACTAGGACATTTCAGCAAAAACCTTGTATGAGAAGTTCATTGCCTAATGTTATTCTGACTATCGATGCATCGGACAAAAAGAGCGCCAGCCGGGCACTCCGTGACTTGCTCGATCCAAAGCCTACAACTAGAAAAGTTGAAGATGAGGGACCAGGGATCTAATTAGATTGCATCAACTAATTCAAGCTATCCAAAAGTGGTTGGAGAGCAGTAGGCCAACACGTTTGATGACACAACTCATCCGACCCATCCCTTCAGTACAATTGTCTCCCAGCATGTCCCAGGGACTATCTGCTCTGGCTCGTTTCCAAACTTCGCAGCCTTCGATGGGGTGCCATCATGTGACAACACCGGCAATGAGATTGAGCTGCCACAGCTAGCAATCTATATACTAACATCTTTTGGCTTCAGGTCAAGCTTTGTTTTGAGAAGGTCTGTCCAGGTCAGCTCATCGCCGCCAAGAAGACAAGACAGTTGGGCCTGGATCCACTGGCAGGCCAAGGAGGTCGTTTTCATCCCACCATGCAACCACCTGAGTGCGGCAGGCTTGGCAGGCTCGACGGCTCGCATATGTACAGAGCAGATCATCTGAATCGTGAAATGTAGCTGATCATTTGAGCTGATATCTTTAGGTTACTGTTTGTCAGAATGAATCCCTTGAGTTGTCCTGTCCATAATATGCCTATATAATCATATATGATATATCACATCTAATATATAATTTATACACATATATAATTTATACACATATATACATACATACTTTTCAACCAGGAGGCCCTCTCGAGCTGGTCCGGGTCGCATTCCTTCCACATCTTCACCTCAGAACGGTTGATCAATCTGACAGTCAAGCAATAGTCAAAGAAGGACAGTCCACAAACCAGACGTTCCAAAGAGCTTCACAAAATCATTTGCAATCTCGAATCAGCTTTGGAGTCAAAAAGCTCATCTGTTCTTGGGTTTGTCCCTTGCGCTCTCGTGCCAATCACCCACTCATGGCATCTCATGACCATGGTGATCTTCTGCGAGGGGCCCCTCGAAAAACCTCCTCCTCGCTGAAAAACTCGGTGTGGAGCCCCGTGGCTTCCCAAGCCTGGCAACTTCAATTAGGAGGAAATGCTCCTGACACGCCTAGCAAAAAAATCATGTGTGGTAATTACCCATGCATCACTGTACATGCTTGAGAAATCCTTCCAATGTCGCACAGTCTTACAAAACTGCATGACTGAGATCGACTGAGTCTCTCATCCCATTCAGCCTCATATTTTTGCATTTTCTGTTCCCATCCCGCGATGATGTATTGATACCTGAGTGAACTTTCCCCAAAGGTCACAAGAAATAATTCCTTTGAGAGCCGATTGTCTGGAAAGGCAAAATAGGATATAGAATGATGTACTTGACACGTTGCTTCGGAGAGTCCCCCGTTGGCTCTTTCTGTGACTGTCTTTGTTGGTACAAGGTTCTTACCCTTGTTGGCTCTTCTGAGTCTTCTTTTCGGTCTGTCATGCAGCATTTAGATTCTGCCTTAAGTTTGTAACACATTAGAGCCTGTGTTCAACTTCTACCTCAGATTTCTTGGGATGTTCCTTGCAGCTGCGGTACCAACCAGTTCTTTGTCGCGCCTCAGTTGCATGTCCAAAAGGCAACCAGTGTAGGGGTGATCATAAAGTGTGGGACAAAGCTGAGCTGGTGGTGTCAACCCGCTTCAATCCAGCTAGAGAGAGCCTGCACAATTCAGCAGCTTGCAGCAACAGGTGGCACAGGATCAAAGCTGCAGTTGGCTAGTTTGCTGATACTAGTCAGCCAATGCTGCAAAGCATTCCTCTGTCTGTCACAGAATCGTCCAACCAGCAAACCGGAGGGAAGAGTGAGTAAACTTCGACAAGGTGTGTGTATATATATATACACGGTATATTAATGTGCATACAGAAATCATAATCCCAGTAAGCTTCTCGTGCAACTCTAGCAACATCCTACATTTACTTTGAAAAGCATCGCACAACGCATGCTGATTTGAATTGATCTTCGTACTAAACTTTGTCTACTCCAGTCAGTGTCGGGCATCTGCCAAGTTGCCAACGGATCTTTGACATAGGCGTAAAAGACTGTTCCTGGCCATACCTCGTATGTAATGGACTGCTGGCATTCCTTGTCATTGATCTGAAATTGTGTCTGTCAGCCGCACACAAAAAGGACATGGAAAGCAAAGGCATCCGATAGATGTTTTGGGGGGGGGGGGTAGAATTGACCAAATGCCTTATGCACGGAGGAGTTTGGTCACTTTATCTACGCTGCACGGGGGCTGCAGTGCGATTTAATATGAAAACCAGGAACAGGAAACTGAGCCAACCAACCACTGCAACGTTGGTGGTGAGGCCGTATGCTTCAAGAAGATAGCCGGCAACATTGGCAACATGTTTCTTTCCAGATTATGGGTCGTCTAATAAGCTACTAGGAACAAGTGCATCGCTTCTAGCAACAAGTGCCTTACTAGTAGTAACAAGAAGCTATTAGAAACATGCTTCGGGTTGTCTACATGGTGGTTGGAGCCAAGAGTCCTGCTTCCAGACATAGTCCTTAGCAGTAAACAGTCGTATCCATCGAGTTCCGAGCACCAAAACCCCACCGGCGAAACAACAGCCAAACCGGGCGCCACACCTCGGCCTTCCAGTGGCGTTGTCTTCCCATGGCGAGGACGTGAGAGAAGTGGGCGTTGGCAAGTGGATAATCTTGAGATCAAACAAATTGGAAAATGGATTGAAGCAACACAGAAAAGCTCAGTAACCAAAGTAACACAAAGAAGCTGTCAACCTGAGGTTGGAGGCCAGAGGTCTTCAAATGTGGGTCAAACTGGTCTGAGCTTCCAATGATTCTTCATATTTCATGCTCTACATCTGCAAAGACAGTGTTCAACTTTGCACCACTAGGACAATAGTTGTTCTTCTTGGAGATTCCAAATTGACAACCCTTGCCCCTTGGAATCTAAAAGTCACCTCACACGTTCGAATTGTCTCCCTCCAAAGCTGCTTAATTGCTATAATTTGTGATATTTGACCGTCCCACACTGGCCACGCGAGATGGATTTCGTAATACCGCCGCTGATTCACCAAGTCATAAGACGTTCTTCCTCCTGAAGCACTAGTGGACCCATTTGGCATGTTTAGAAATATGTCTGAGAAGTGTCTGCTCTTTACCTTCATGACGTCCACAGAACAAGTGAGAGAAAAAACCTGATTGGCAGGGCCAAAGCTATGGTGGATCAAAACCAATGCTGAGCCAGCTTGGCTGCGGTGCGTACAATGCAAAGGTCTTCCCACACACACACACACACACAACAAACTCTGAGCAAGTTGGTAACACAACACCTCAGCTGTGCGGATCTACATCAGGCGTCCTGCTCAATCCGGTTTCTAAGTTTATTCACAACTGGCTGCTAACCCGCTCATACAGCTACAACCGCCAAAGCAACATTGGTTGTGTGCATGCAGAGATCTGTGACAAAAGCAACTAAGATGGTTGGTTGGAAAACAAAATCAGCAAGTTGTACATCCAGAAGAGCTTTAGCAAGCTTGGAGGTCGCCTCCAGTCTCTCTGGCATCACACTCTGCAAAAACAGTGGATAGCATACATGGCGTGCATCACCTGCCCAGTGGTTGCCAAAGCGTGTGCCAACACAAAAGCTGAAGAAATGTACAATGGCAATTAAACTGCAGGTCATTCAATCTCATACTCGGTATCAATGCACCATGCACCATTGTTAGGAAACTCGCGTGTGGCGCCATTTCCTTTGAGCATTCCGTTGGCAACTCTGGTTTCGATACTTGGAGCTCGAGGGGATTGATGCGCTTCCTGAGGAAGGTCGGTATTTTGTCACATATCGAGTTGGGCTTGTAGTGCAAGGCAGCGGTATTAGTAGGATCGGCGGTAGCAGCCGGAAGTATAAACATTGAGGTAGACACCATTATGTCTATGTATATATATATACATAAATACAACTAGTACTAGCAGCAGCAGCAGCAGCAGGAGGAGGAGGAGCAGGACAGCATTTCGGTCGGCTGCGCGAGTAACCCGGCCTGCCGGAGAGAAAAGGGAGGCAATCTGATGCCTGGAAAGCAATGTGGTCAAAAAGAAGGGCTCTGAGTAAAAAGTTTGACCAGTTGCATTGAGTGCTCGTGCTAATCACATTTGCCACGCTCCCCGCTGGCTTGTCAGGCTTGCCAGGCCTTTCTTCCAAGGACAATGCACACGGCAAAGCCCGCAAAGCTTCCATGAAGTCTCCTTGCCACAGATCTGGCATCGTCACGGAACAGGTTCAAAAGCAAAGGTTCTCCACACCTCTGCTGACTTTGGATCAACAATTCAATTATGAGCGCGAAATGGGAGAATTTGTTTCTATCTTACTCTCGTGAACCAGCAAACCTCCTCAATGTATGTGTACATAACATAATATTATATATATATATGCGCTGCTTCCCGCACACCAACCACAGCCCGTCCTCGAGGAAAAAATCCAGCCACAGATGGTGCATCACGGTCCAGCTGCTGAAGCGCAGTAAAGTCCCTCGCGACGGTTGGCAGTGTTTGTGTGTGTGCATGTCTGTGTGTGTGTTCAAGTCCATTGTTTGTATGTGCTTGCATTAAGAAAACAGTTGCAGTTGCAATTACATTAATTGCTTGCATAGATTTGCAAGACCTTGCTTGTGGCAGAGTAGATCAGTCACTTCTAATGGGTGAGCTGCGCTCAATTCTATGCCCGTGTCGAGGCCTCGAAATCAATTGTTATGACAGACAGAGCCCAACAGAAAACACACACACACACACCTCGAGATGGCAAGGCGGATTCGAGCCAGGGCCTGGACTTGCAAGGGTAGTGGCAACTCATCTCAGAATCAGGACCCTCAACTGCTAAACGTACAGCACAAACTATATATAGACAGTATTCAAAGAAAGGTTGATGCCATCACAACATCTGTGCCTCAAGCTTGCCCCATTGAAATATATGCAACAACCAAATGTTTTTGAGATTCGAGGGCAGGGCAAAAGCAAACAAAGAAAAAAAAACGAGAACAGTTCGTGCCTCAAGCCAAGCCCAAACAATGAAAGCGATTGGAGGCCATCGCTACTAAGTTGGAGGCCATCGCTTTTGGGTTGGAGGCCATCGCTTTAGGTTGGAGGCCATCGCTTCTAGAAAAACAAAGAAAAAGGAAAACCCTTTGTCACTGCAGAGCACCTTGAAAAGTCCAGCCTCAGGGAGTGTGTCATTGGCACAAGTAGAAGCTGCTCCATAGATTGCTGTAATCTGTTTTGCTTATCGACTATCCAATTATGAAGCAGCGGAATAGATTGGATTCTCGTACCCGAACCAGAGCCTGTGGATCAGTATCGCTTTGCAAATGTCCACACCGCTCTTTTGACTGACTGTTCAGCACAAATTAAACCCATGGCCGAAGGTTGAAAGCAGTCCTTCAAAAAAATGTATGTGGTACAACTGGTGCCTTCAAAAGGATTTGAAAAGATGTGTATCTGCATGACCACTGCAAGCTCTGAACAGTTTCTCGCCCTGGATTCTATGATGGTATGTGTTCTTTGTTCACAAAGTGTCTCAAATGAGTTTGAGCTCTGGCTGTTGGCAGGGCTAGCTAAGTCTCGTACAGCTTGGAATGGTCTCTCCGCTGCGCCTCATGCACTCAAAACAAGCGACCTTAAAGTGTGCACATGAAAGTGTTCTTTTCAATTCCAAGCCCAAGCGTGCCAATATCACTTGGATGTGAAATGCCAATGAAGTATGTATGAATGCTCGTGTCCAGGTCTTAGCACACCCATGTACTTACAACATCATCAAGGAAGTTAGCACGAGGTATCTAAACCGGCTAAACCGCAAGTTACTTGGGACTCAAGAAGAATGGCCCAAATGCGCTGCCTTGCCATACATGCTGGAGCTCCGAGAGGGAAACACTGAAGTCCGGCCGCGCAGCGGAGCGGCACCTGGGTAAGGATGGCGAGCAAATGCCACTGTTGCCTTGTTCTTCCAAAGATCTTTACGTTCGACGCTTTGGTCTTCCATCGTCTTTCAAACGGTTTCTCTTCATCTTCGGAACAAATTGATGATTCGGCTCCGACATTGATCATGTTGGGCGTTATACCCCTTGCAGTGTTTTGCATGAGCCCCTAATTTTGAGATATTTGTCTTGCCCTGGTTCCTGCGCTTTTTTCAACTAGTGCCAAGAGCCCTGATGGATAAATGTATGCACTGTCAGTAAAATATATGTACACTGCATGTATTTATACCATTGCATATTCTCAAAGAAATGAGAAGTCACCTTCTATGTCTGGCATTTAAAGTAAGCCTAATGCAGCTCGCGTCTCAAAGCAATTTTCCGCATTGCTTGCAGCTGCTGGCTAGGTGGAACGCCGGCACTCAGTGTGCCTCACCAGCAGTAGCTGGTGATTTGCACGTGGAGCCTTGCCTGGCAAAGCCGGAGATTGATGGCTTGTCATGTCAGCTCGTCAGCTTTCCAGCACATGTCTCTCTTGTCAGCAAGACACCGGCACCTGAAATTGTGCAATGCTTTCATCTCTGATTTCCCCCCTCTCTGAGGCCTCTCTGCCTCTATTGGCCCGTCGCATTTGCAGAGCTGTCTCCCTGCCGACTGCACACGCCGGCCTGTGTCAGGTCATGCATTCCTTTCAGTGTTGGCGAGCCTACTAGCATCCTGTTTTGTATGGAAAGCGTTTGACTCTGCATAGTAAGGGGCTGTATATATATATATATAATGAATCTCAGGAAAATGGTCAATGAGTCAAGGCTTCAAGGATTGAGGACGGTGATGTCTGCACAAACATATACTGTATCTGACAACGGGGACAAGGCCACAACATGAACTTTGTGGCACAGTAGGGAGATCTTGCAAAGCCTATGAGCCTGCCCTTGGTCATTTTGACTTGCAAACACTTGAGGCGTGCGCTGCAGTCTTAACGTAGCAAACATGTCTTGTGGATGTGCACCAAGACTGCTCTGAGCCTTCTTGGTCTGAAAACACGTTCTGCGCTCCTGTCAGCTTCGTGCCTTCTGATCTAAGTAGCACTCTGGCGGTTCTTCTTCTTGATCATCAGTTTTTGGTTTCTCGGCGTACAGTCAAAAGCTAGCATACTAGCATCATTGCAAAGGACCCTTCAGTCTGGTGTGTAGTGTATTGCACTGTTTGCAAGGGATCTAAGCTGCTTGAGATGCTCTTTTACCTCATGTTGCTACTTTAACCGTTCGGCTCAATATATCACTGGTCTTCAAGCATCATCATTTTGCAACGTGCTTCAAAGGGCTCCTGGCACAAGTGCTCATCATGTCATGCCATCTAAGTTGTCCGCCCGCATCTTCCAGGAGCAGCGGTAGAAATTGCCTCCTACACAGGGGTGCCAAAAGGCATATCTAACAATGTGGCACAGTGGTGATGTGTGCTATTAGTCTTTCGAAACAATTTCTCTACTCTACTCGGCAATGCCAAGTCATCATGACTCGTTCATGGTATTTGTCAAGGTGGCCTTGGGAGGCCTTGTAGCTCTCACACAGGGCAGCAGTTGAATTTACATCCTTGGGTCAGAGACGCAATGATTCTGACGATCAAAGGGTCACTTGCAGCTGGAGTATGTGGTTGGGCAACAAAGAACAAACTCCACATTTGTTCTTCACGAAAGAGCGGTCAGCCAAGTCTCTGAGCATGCCCAAGTCTGCTTCAGGCCTGTGCAATCGTCCAGCACCTTGGATCCATCCGGCAAATTGTGCTGCATATTTTGGTTGGTAGAGACAAGCTGCTCGATCCCCTCCATAATAGGTGTCGATTGAAGTCTCTGCCTTGGCTGCCAAGCATTGAACAAGCTCAAAAGACTGCAAAAGCTGTAGATTCATGAGCGGCAAGCCGCCAAGCTGGCAATCTGAGATAGCACTGGACTCTGGACTGAAAGGTCGACTTAGTTTTGTGAGATCATGACACTGTCATGACACATTGTAGCGCAAACCAAGAAGCTTTCAGTGGCACATCTCCTCCATCTCCAGCTGCACCGCCAGCCTTTGCCCAAACACCAAACAGCACCCCGATGTTTGGTGCGACAGTCAAGTCTCCCATGTCGCAAAGTGCGCATCCATTCTGCGGTAAGGAAGGACTGGAAGGACTGCCAATGCAGAGCTTTGTTGAGGAGATGTGCCTTCACTTGCCATACTGACCAAAACCCTGCCCTACGCCTCCCGCCGTACGATTGAAGCCCCTGAGGCTGAGATCTCCAACCTGAGATCTGAGGCCAAGGCGGCCGAGACACACCAGGCAGGGATGAAACAAAGGATTCTTTACTAACATTGTTCTTTGTTCAGCCTTTCACCGAAAACCGCCAATCAAGGCAATGTCTGGAACTTCAGAAAGGAGCATGGCAAAGGAACGGCCAAAGTGCAGCTGGAAACTGGCAGAAAAACGCCACCCTGTAACGCTGCTTCACGCCAAAGGTCCAGGAGTTACATTTGCCCCTTGTTACTAGTAGCTTCTTGTCACTAGTAGTAGTGCCAGGAGCTACTATCTCTGCACTTTTCCATTCAGTAGCGATGCCCTTTGCTACTAGTAGCTATTTGCCCACATTTTGAACCCTACAATGATCTTGATTGCAGGACGTCAGCTAACGAACATGCTATGGCTGCTCTATGGGAAATCCCAGCGGCTGGTGGCGATGCACTTCCCTCTCTGCTCCTTGCAAAAGGTGGCTCTGACAAGGTCCGGAACAGCAACTGAACCTAATGAACAAAGTTGATAAGAACATGACACCAGTGTCTCAACGAGAGCGCAATTACTACAATACATCACTGTGTGCGTCGCTTACTTACTCTGCTTTCAGAACTCCTGCGGTTGTCCACATTTCAGACCGCATGACTCGATGGACATAAATTATGCTACACCCTCCGGGACTCCGGGGCAAAAAAGACTGAGGAAAATTCTTCTGTGCTGGCACTTCTTATGGATGCTTCACTGTATGCTGTGTTCACTCCTGTCAACTAGAAACAGCCAAAGCAGTCGCTGACAAAGTTCCAGTGATGTTGCCAGGGTTTGATGTACAACTGCGGACTGAGAAGCATGAGCATTGGCTAGCAGCCAGCTGTTCAGCCTTTCACATAATCCAAGGTTGTTTCATCTTTAGATAAATTATGCTGTCACGCAATCTTATTCAACCGCATCTCCGCGCATGTGTTTTTCTCAACCATGCTTGTGGATAGTTATGCGTGTGGTTACTTGCTATCTTGTTCTGGCTTCTATATCCAAACTGAGTTCCAGGGAAGAGCCTGTCATTGGCTCTGAATGACATCAATCTTCAAAGGAACAAGTGTTTCTGTGTGTGTGTGTGTTTGTGTTGCCTGGGTGTGCATCATCACATGCCTGCCCGCCCCAGTGGCGAGGGACTGTTGCTAACCGCCTGACTTCTACGGCAAGGATGCAAATATGCAGGCTCTGCACAGCAAAGCAATGCGATCTGATAAATGTGAAAGCCTCTTGGTGGGTTGAAGGCTGCGTGGGTTGCTAGCTCCACAGCTATGAATGACCAACTGAGTCCTTGAACTTGGGACTGTAAGCCTATGAAGGCTATCCAGCACCATGTAGACATTTTCCTCAGGGGGGCCATCCAGGCGCATTGCGAAGAAGTCACCATCTAGCTTTTGTGAGAAGTAACTGCGCCTAGTGATTCGCAAACCTCATCCACATGTTACCGTTCGGCAGGTGCAAGCATAAGCAAGTTTTAGTAATCATCACTTTATATATATATATCACATCTAGGCCCTAGGCAACTGAAAGTCATGGATGCAAGATGCAAAACAGGGTGAAGAATCACTAAGCCACCCAGGTCGCCAAAGGAACATAAGTTGTCTTGGCCAGCTGAGCATGTGACGTCGATGGGATTTCACGGACGTCGTCTCATGTGGGTGGAGCAGTAGGGGCCCACCGCTTGAGTCGCTTGAGCCATCCACGGAAGGTTTTCTGTACTACAGGTTTTCCTGACTGCAGCTGTGGCTACACCTCCTACTACAAGGGCATACAGGTATGTCTGAAATGCTTGACCCCGGCTACTGATCTTCCACTTCAGAGATGAACATTCGTTGCTATCATCCGAAAGGTCATTGAAGGCTCATCATGGATTGGAGAGGTCGGCGGGTGGGTGGCTCTCACTGCGGGCAAAAACAATTTTGCCCTTGGTCCGTTTAGGTTGGTTCAGTGTGTCAATGCAATTTGCGGTTGGCCAGGGTTCCAACTAGCGCCTGGCTAGGTGCTGAGGCACCGACAGTTCCAAGCACTGCTCCGAGACACCCGATCGGGCTAGGACAGCCTCAATGTGTCCGAGAAGCTGAAAACACGCTGACGAACAGAATCCTGCACCTTGGGTCTCTGTTCTTCTAGTCTTATGGGTGCTTCTCATACCTCTCTAAGGAGGCAATAAACAATGAAAAATCATGCACAATGATGAATCTTGTGTGTCAGACTTCTCAAACGAAGTGGACTAGCTTGGGTAACGGATTTGGACGGTCAACAACTGTCTGATGCTTGTAGTCTCTTGTTCAAGAATGGCCCATTGCATACCTCTTTACTTCCGATATCTGCATAGAGCGGCCAGGAGCTCTCCCCAGGGTAGTCGATGGTCCAAGCCCGCTTGAGCCTTCCAGGGAAGGAAGACATCCATGATCACCCTGGTTTGAGCACTTGAAAAGTGCAAATCCGATAAACATATATATATATATATATTCTTACAGTACATGTTCACTCTCACTTTCTGGTGCCTCTACCAGTCCGCATTGATGCCTGGTACCAGTTGTCTGTTGCTCGAGGCCATACTCAATGAGGCATTCCATGGCTCAATCATACCTGTGTAGAATATAACTAAGACTATAACAGAATATATCATAGGGTGCACGTTTAATTTGAGATTTCATTTTTTCAGGTTATTTTTTCCCGCACAACATGCTAGTTCAATTCACCAAAGCCTGAATATCTCAAAAGCTTCACGCACCTCTGCATCTTGCAACATGTTGATAGCTGCCTCAGCAAAAACGGAGGCCTTCGGGCAACACTGTTGCTTTCTTGCCCACAGGGAAAGGTAGCAGCAGGACTCTGCTTGGCGGGCACATCACCGTGATGCAAAGGTAACACCCTTTTCACAGTACACTAATGCTACATGTTCAATGATGCTTTCCACAGTGGCCTTGCCAATTTCCTGTTTTTGCGCTATGTCTGCCATTGTTCTGGCAATGTCTTCATTGCAGGCAGCGTATGACATGCAGGTTGTCATGCAAAGCCGACTCGGATCGAAAGGGACCAAAGCAGAAAACATTGAACTTGCTTGGAAGAACTCGTCTTTGGAAGGCTTGAACTGGGGGGTTGAGTGTGGGAGGTGGGATTCCGCCGGCTATGCGTCAACTCGCACTTCCTGCCAAGGCAATGAAGAGTTTTTAGGATCTGGTATGTATATAACATTATATAACAGTTTCACCAATGAGTTCGGGTTTTACATTTTCTATATAAACATCAACGCTTCATGGAAGTGGGCGCCAAGCAGAATATCAAGGTTTTTGAGGGCTTTCCTTCTCGCTTGGACCTTCGTATTAACAGCATGGAAGGCAGAAACGTCTCGTTTCCGAGGCAAAGAAATGCAAGTGCACAGTTTGCTTCAAGTCTGTCAAATCAACGATGATGTGCAAAGTAGTGCGCACAGGGAAAAGAAGAAGCAAACATATTGACACATAGATTGACCAAACATGCCAAACACATTTTAAGAGCAAGTCGTTGTAAGGCTGGGACTATGAATGGTCAAGTGTGGACTCGGTCACTCAATTGGTTGTGCTAGAAGTGAAAATGACATGTGAGGAAGAAAGAGTTTCGAACGACCAGAAAACGTTCATGCGAATTCTCAGACATCAAAAACCATCGAAATACTCTGACTCTGGCCTTCGACAGATCGCAACTTGTCAATGTCACTTGGTTGCTGAAGCGCTGTTGCTGAACGGGCTGCTTTAGTTGCTGACGCTTAGCTGCTGAATGCTTCAATGTCTATACATGTATGGCCGTTATGCGTGACGCGTGATGTGCATACATGTGCATGCATATTGCGGAATAGGACTTTGTTCCATGCATACTATACGCACATGTTTGGTGACTCAAAGGCTTGATTGGAACCTCTTGCGGTCCCTTGCGCTCCGTAGCACCTCGTCTTCACGTAGTCCCTGCAAGTCATCCCTTGCTGCCTCCAGTGACAGCCTGAGAAGCAGTGTCCGCCTTCATGTGGGGTCACCGTGTGGTCAGTGATATATATATATACATATATATATACAATATGTATAAATACATATATACAATATGTATATATACATATATACAATATATATATATACATATATATACAATATATATATATACATAAAGTATTCTGAAGTAAGAGTGATGGAGTGAGGAGGACCCAAAGAGGTATCTCCGGAAGTCACGAGTCAAGTAAATCAAGACCGGCTTGAAAACAAGCATGGCCTCGGCGCAATAGACTCGAGGCCATGGCCTACCAAAGGCTAGCTTTGTCTGCTGGAACTTGGGAACTTGGAAGGCGCAAACGGTCACTGAGTTGACTGTTGACTCATTTGGTTTGGAAGCCCCGCGAGGAGAACGAGGAAACAAAGAACAGATCAGAGAGACAAAGAGTACATGAATCGTATGCCCCTCAAGTCTACATGTTGGCACTTCTCTGTGCAATCTTCTTGTTTTCACAGTGACAGCTGCATTGAAAACCAAAACCGTTGCAGCTAGCTGCAAACAAATATCCTTCTGAGGTGGTTTCTGTGTAGTTGTACCTCAAACGCATGTCAAAAGTTGGATAACCTCAAAAGCCAGCCTTGAAGGCTGCCTTCCATGGGGCAAAAGAGCTTCTGGATCACTGCCTGCAAACAAACTGAACACTATGGACGCAAGAGCAGCTCCATGAGTGTTTTTAGAACGTGGTTGATGAGTGAGGAGTTTGAAGATCGGCCGACCTTGTCCTTTTTCTCTCAAGTCTTTTTGGGGGCCACGCCATGGGTCTTCTGAGTGGGCTCCCTTTTGTGGTCGGTCTTGCGCTGGGCCACATCGGAGGGTTCTTACTGGGGACGCTGGTTCGGTGGACGCAGGTGGTGGACCAACACGTGTTGGAACAGGCCATTGGTAGGGCTGTCAGTGAGACTTTGCGGGTGTGCACTGAGGTGGACTCAGGTGAAACGAGCACCACCCTTCCTCAGGTGAATCTAGTGAAGTTTGGGCTGCCTTGGGACTATTTCCTCATTGGAGTGGTGCTTTTCTTGGTGTGCTGTTGCGGCATCATTACTGGGTTGTGCTTCTATTGTTGGAGGTGTTCCCGCCCCGAGGGGGTCAAGGACTCGAGTCCCTTGTCAGACCCGAGCCCTGGAAGAGCCCTACCATCACTCCAGATCATAGCGCAGCAGCAGCTTGCGGAGCTGCGAGTGAGGCGGCATGCTCAGCAATCGGTTGGCGCTTCTGGAGTATGATGTTCCTGGACCATTGGTGATTCACGAGAGGATGATCCTTGATCACATTGGTGCTGACGAGTACGTTGTTTGTACGCCAGATCGGGACATCTTTGTGGAACAGCTCTCCGTTGACAACTCAGACCTTCGCTCCTTTCGTCTTCGTCCAGGACCTCATCAGCTTCCCCCAGGAGTGGCACTAGGCAATGTGTATGGGTTGCCGGCATGGACGGCCGCTGAGGTTGCGAGCATTCGGGATGAAGCAGCAAGACTAGCGGCCACAGAGCGAGCTGCCCGGGGGGCAGGTGCAGGTGCAGTGGTGGCGGTTCCGGCAGGAGGGGCAGTGGCGGTGGCTGCCCCGGCAGTCCCAGCCCCACCTCCGGATAATAAGCCGCCGGGTGCAGCTGATCTGGTCGGAGGTGTGTTGTACTGGGTGGCAGCTGAGTGCATTGATGGTTACCGGTATGGACAGGTTGTTGACAGTGTTGCAGATGCCAAGACATTGGGTGCCAAAACGGTGCATAGGTTAGCAGATGTTTTGCATGTGCATTGATGATACTTTGGTTGAGGAGTTCAACAACCGTCCTGCTAGGTGTGATGGTCGAGTCCTTCCCAGGAAGTCGAACAACCTGGGAACACCAGAAATGCCGTTAGGTGACGTCGTGGCAGCCTCAAAGGAGTTTGATTGGGGTGGAAGATCACGGGCCCCAGGACGGCTCGATGGCGCCTGAGTTATTTGAAGGTGGAGGGTCTAGGCCTTGACGAACACCATGAACGTTTCCGCCAAGTGTGTCGGCTGGACAGTGGCACTTGGGGTGTGATGGAGCATTTTCAGATCAGCATGATGGTGCGACAGCTGTTGCAGACAGATGGCATCAACGGTTGCAACTCTCTGGCAGCAGAGCTGATGTTCCGTCGCCTCCAGACCATCGAGTACGCGCACGCAGAGCGGGCCAGAGAGACAGAGGGCAAAGCCATGGGCGCCACCTCTAAGTTGGCCCTGGAAGAGCAGTATGTTTTTGGGAGCTTGGTGAGGACAGCAGGCACGTTGATGGTTGCGCCGGAGCTGTTGCAGCATGTGAAGGAGGAGACAGAGAGGGAGGTCCTTCTCAGCAAGAACCTCCGGAAGGCCAAGGAGGAGAGAGAGCTAGCCTCCAAGGCCAAAGGAGGAGGCAAGAAGAACAAGGAGGAGAGCCCTGATGTCAGGGGCAGCCGGCGAGAGCGGGCCGACTTGCCGGCTGGAGCCACAGGCCTATCTCCAGCCACACAGCGACAGAGCATGCCCCCGTGAGCTTTTTCCTTTGCCTTCTACTTGTCCTCTCACCTTGGGGAAGACCGACTGCTGCCGGAAGGTGAGACGTCGCCTTGAAAAGAGAGTGCGTGTTTGAACGCATTGTTTGCAGGTAGTGAGATTGTTGAGTCAGTGTCGAATTTACATTGGTCGGCAGCTCAGCTATCTGTTTTTGACAATATTGTTAATTCAGTGCAAGAGTTGGGGCCACCGCCCAGTGACCTCGACGGCGGAGGGGCGCTACAGCAGCTCCACGCTTTCGACGGCTACCGGGATGACCAGACCCCTGCGCCGTCAAGCCCTACGTGCCAGAGCTCCTTTCTATTCCCTCTTGCGGAACGAAGCAGTACCGTTGGATAGATTGTTAGGAGTGGATGGTGGTGACATTGTGGGTGAATTCATTCGCACTAGACTTCTGCCAGAGGATGAGGCTCGCAAGAACTTGCAGCGCCTTGGGTTGAGGCAGGCTTATAGTGATCCGAAGCTCCGGGAGCATCGGACATACAAGAGATTCATTTCAAGGTTGGTGGACGCAGACATACTCGAGTTGAGCTTGGAGCCAAACAAGGAGCAGGTTGAGATGTTCTTTGTTGGAAAGAAGGATGGGCGGCTTCGAATGGTGTGTGACTGTCGAAGGTCAAACCAATTCTTCCGGGAGCCCGACAAGGTGCGACTGGCAACGGCGGAGTCGCTGACGCGGGTTGAGCTTGACCAGGGTAGTGAGTTGCATATAGCCACGGCCAATTTGAAAGATGCTTTTTATCATTTTCAGTTGCCCTCACCACTTAGGAAGTACTTCGGGATGCGCAGCTTGCAAGCAGGTGATTTGGACTTGACTCATGTGGGAGACAAGCCAGTGGCAGCCACACGGCGGATTTTTCCCCGCCTGAAAGTGCTGCCTATGGGTTGGTCCATGCCTTGTTTTGGTGTCAGAGTTTACACCAGAAGATCTTGGAAGAAGTTGGGGCCACAGCGGATTCCTGCCTAGAAGATCGGGCGCCAGTGCCCCCTTGTTCGCGCATGCACCTTGAGTACGTTGACAACTTCGTGGTTCTGGGCACTAGCAAAGATGCGGTGAATGACCTTGCCGCACGTGGAGTGGAAGCCCTTCGACGAAAGGGTTTGATAGTGCATGAGGTTGAGAGTGCTTCGTCCAGCCAGAGCCCCGTCAAGGTTCTCGGTTGGCAGTTCCAGAACAACCAGATCCGGCCTTTGCCGCACCGGGTTTGGCGAGTTCGCCTAGCGATCAAAGAGTTGATCCGGATCGGACGATGTTCCGGCCGGCAGCTTGAAAAAGTGGTCGGTCACGCAGCCTTATTGCTCTAGGTCGACGAGAAGCACTTAGCATTTTTGGGGACACCTACACTTTCATACAGAGGCATCGACACGCTGCTCACCGCCTTTGGGGTTCAGTACGACGTGAGTTGTTGATCTTTGCGGGCGTTCTCCCTTTGGTGTGGAAAGACCTATCTATGTCTTGGGATACACAGGTGACAGCTGTCGATGCCTCGTCTTGGGGGCTGGGTACCACGGGTGGCTACTTTTCCTCAGGAAGAAGTCAGAAAGTTGGGTCGGTTTTCAGAACGTTGGAGGTTCGAGCACCCGCTGTTCAAAGCTCCACGAGCATCGGTGTTGGGGGCGACCATTGCTGCCGCCACTGAGGAGCCGTCAGCGTGGGAGTGGGCTGGAGCTGCAGCCGACTGGGAGCAGGCGCCTCGACCTCTGGGTGTTCGGGTTGGAAAGCAGGAGGAGTGTGTTTTTCAGCCAGTTCCCTTTGCCGCAGTCGACCGGCCTTGGACGGTCACAGGTAGATACAAGTGGAGGCGAATAGAGGGGATGCCAGTTTTGGAAGCACGGGCAACCTTGCATGCAGTGAAACACATGTTGAGAAGAATTTGCGGTCATCACAAACGTCACTTGGTTCTTTCAGACAGCATGTCGGCAATTTTTGCTATCGACAAGGGCCGGGGTCGAACGTTTGGACTTAGGCGTGTGACTCAGCAGATAGGAGCTCTTTTGTTGGCTAGTGGGAGCACCATTCACATGCGTTGGGTTGCAAGTGAGATGAATCCCGCTCATGGTCCTTCAAGGGGGTCGTTGTTTCCTAGCCGGCCCGCGGTGGGGCAGATCCATGGTGATCCACCGGGGGATCCTGCTGGAGGAACAGGTGAAAAAGAAGACCAGAAAGGTTCCACCGGGTCGAAAAAAGACGCACAAAAAGAGAGTCAGACCACAGCAGCCAGTTCTTCAGCCGCTGAGCAAGAAGCAGAAGCAGAAGCAAAGGGCAGCACAGTTAAAGGCAGTTGGCACCTTAATAAAGCATCAGTGGGCCCGGCGGCCAGGGTAAAATACAGCCAATGTTGGGCAAGGCTTGTGAACAGCACCGGCCGAATTCCCGACCACCACACCCCAGCGGCAGAGGTAGACGAGTTGCTGTGCCAAGTTCTGAACGAGATGTTTTTAGAGGGTCAAAGCCTCAGCGAAGCAAACTACATGAATGCAGCGGTTCTTTTTCGACTTCCCCACCTGCGGTCGCCGCGGCAGATGCTGCTTCCGGTGGCCAAGCAGACGCTGGCGGGGTGGCGAAAGCTGGACCCTCCATTGTCCAGGATGCCGCTCCCACAAGAGGTGGTGTGGCTGATGGCCGTGTTTTGTTTCAAGAGGCGTCGGTTTCAGGAGGGGCTGATGATGTTGCTAGCCATGGAATTGTACCTGCGACCCGGAGAGCTGGATGGGATCAGAGTGATGGACTTGGTTCCTCCAGTGGGGGCCTCCCCCAACCGCAAGTGGTCGTTGGTGCTGCATCCATGGGAAGAGGGACAGCCGAGCAAGGCCCAAGAGTCCGACGAGACCATCTTGTTCGATCTGCCCCTTCAGGAAGTTCTAGCAGAAACCATCTACAGAGTGTGCAAGGCAGGGTTGCAAGGCAAGAACGAGAGCCTCTTTTCATGCAAGTACGAAACCATGAAGGATTGGATGAAGAAAGCTGCGTCCCACTACCACATGGAGGCATTGGGACTTGGGACCCCCTCATGCTCACCGGTTGCGACATGCCGGGGCCTCGAGGGATTTTGCTCTTCACCTGAGGGGAATGCAAGACATCCAACACAGAGGGAGATGGAAGGCCTCCTCGAGCACCAGAAGGTACCAGGAGGGAGGCCGCCTTCAACAATTGCTGCGACTGCTGCCCGCCGACACACTTCAAAGCGCCATGCAGGCCTACGAAGGCAGAGACGCATGGTTGCGGTCCCTGCGCTGACCAAGTTACGACCGTCGCCTCCAGTTGTTTTTCTTGAAGTCTTTTCGGGATGTGGGCAGCTGGGACGGAGTGTGGCTCGTTTCAATTTGGTGGCAGTGTTGTTATGGGACATCACATTAGGCGAAGAATATGACCTCAGACGTCGGTCCAACCGTTGGAAGATAGCTGAGTGGATTCGGTGTGGTTGGGTGGAAGGTTTTCACTTGGGCACCCCGTGTGAGAGCTTTACAAGAGCTAGAGATGTTCCTCCTGGCCCCCTGCCTCTTCGAAGCGATCTGCAACCTTTGGCCTTTGGGACTCCCGGGTCTGAAGCCGGCAGATCAACTCAAGGTCATGACAGGCAACCTGTGGATGAGGTTCTCGGCATGGCTTCTTAGGTTGGCGCTTGAATTCAATATTTTTGCAACCCTTGAGAATCCGGAGCGGTCAAGACTGTGGCTGTGTCCTCCCCTTCAGGCATTGTTTCGACGCAGGCGTGTCCATTGGGTTGTCACACATTATTGTTGTTGGGGCCGGCCTTTCCGTAAAGCCACGGGCTTTCTGTCAGTGAACTTTGAGTTGACAAGGCTGAACAATACAAAGTGCGTAGGAGGCAAAAGAGGCATTTGCGTGTACACAAATCGACCTCACATCCAACTGATTGGGCGAAACTCTCATGGCCAATGGTTGACCAGGGTTGCGCAACCTTACCCAGTTCAGATGTGCAATGCGATCTCAAAATGCTTGTATGATGCTCGTGTGTCAAAGGTCGCCATGAATCTTGAGAAGTCCCTGGTGTGACCGGCGTTGCCAGAGGGCGAAACAAATTTGGGCGGCCGATCAACTTCGCAAGGACGGGAGAAGTGTCAGTCTGGGGGG